TTCCTCAAGGTATGATATTCATATAATTTTCATTACTTATTCTATTTGTTATAATTGTAGCAATGCCATACTCATGCATGAATTATTAAAAATGGCTATCAGTTCCGCAGCCACTACGCTCGGTGAGGGGGGGGGGGGGGGTGGTGGTCAAAACAATTTTTTTTAGGCCACTCCCTTTTTAGCACCACAAAGCGTCCTTTAACCAACAAGGAACGCAAATTTTGCCTGAAGGGAACGTCCATGGCTAACTTTTGGCTATGTAAAGGCTGTTCGCAACTCATAGGATTACGTCATTAAAAGTACGTTCAAAAAATATCACCCTCCACTAGCATTTTATCATTGAATTTAGACGAAATACAAAATTGATCCTGACGAGAATTGGGGGACGTGTCCCCAAGTCCAACCGTGGCGTCGCTACTTTGTTGCTCTTAAGGAGACTCATCCCCTTCGAAGTCATATAAATGCTTTGCTTCCAACAAACAATCCCCTTGTTCCTACGTTGTCATGCAATAGCGCCCTTCAGACAATTCTATTATTCATAATGGTTCTGATTAGCCTTTCAAATATTACACAATCTTACAAGCATCGTTTGTCATTTTTAGTTTTTGACTTGTAGTCCTTGGGTCTAGCTTCTGTGCATGGTCCACTCTCATTGCTATTTTCACATCACTTTTCCAGGTATTTTGTATGTACATGATCATGTGGACTGCGGCCTTGGAAAGAACAGCTAGAGAAGCAAAAGGTACAGGATTCTATTTTGTTATTGTTTTTCTCTAATTTAATTCTCACCACGTGACACATTTGCTTGTTTTGCGTCACTTTTCTATTTTGTTTCTTACGTGAAAGGCATTGCACGGGTTTCCACATTGCTATCGTTTGCTTATTAAAAAGTATATTCTATCCCTCTCTTTAAGAGTATCCCTTTTACGCTTAAATGGTTGTACTAAAACAAGGGTTACAGACATCTTAAATCAGTCAGTTTTTCCAAACATTTTGCTCTGCAGGTCTGAATTGGTAAAAACTTTCAAATGTTTAAGAACATCCCTAATTTTTGTCTAAAACCTATCAAAAATGATGAAGCCACACCTTCCTTGAGATGTTTTGCCCCAATGCAGCCCAACACTTGTAAGTTTGGGTGGTTGTATTCACTGCAAGGAAAACAATGCAATATCAAAAACAACACACAGTGATATCACAGGCACAGTTTATATTCTCATCAGCCCTGTGGAAATTAAAAATAAAAAAGCACATTGAAGTTAAAAGTATGTTATTTTGGGCTTTGAAAAGCACACATTTGTTCCCCTGACCTTTTCCTCGGTTCAATGGCGTTAGCAGCTCCAGGAGAGTTGAGATCTGGAAGAGTAGTCCCAAGAAAGCTCATGCAAAGACATGTCCTTTTTACTTTTGCAACAAACAACGATGCCCTTTTAAACGAATGATGGAATGAAACAACTTTTATTTTACATAGCAATCAAAAATCTTTCGATATTATCAAAATGTAATGATCTGTCTCTCCTCTCCACCCCAATACTTTTGTTGGGATTCTGGACATTTTTCGAAAGCTGTTTGTTATTAGTTAGGGTCTGATGCTCTTCTCATGTTTTCGTACTGCTCCAACATATGATCTTATATCCGAAGCCACTACCATCTGCTTCTCCTTACTTGGAGTATTTTAAAAATTCTTGCTTTCTTTTATTATCTTATCAAATGCAATACTGTTTTTAAGCATTACTTGTCAAATCTTATGCAAATCAATCATAATCATGGATTTGTCGCTCTTAATCTGGAAATAATGCAAATAACAGCCAGAAACTCAATCTTTTAGTAAACCAGATGACGTCAAGTCAGTCCAGAACCTGTCTGCGTTACTAAGTCCAATAACATATTCCTTGTCACTCGCTGCTTAGGTAGGTCATCGGATAAAGGCTGCCTAAAGACACGACAATAACAACTTGATGTTTATAATCAAGATGTACTGGTTAACGCCTTTGCCCTATTAAACACAGAGATATTGCATGTGTATCTTGTTATCATATAGAATAATCACATATAGCAAGATTAAAAGTTCTTTCTCTTGCTATGTTAAAAATAACTTAAGATGTGTCAGTTCCTAATAAGAAACACAAGTCTTTTCCTTGGCATGTCTACAGCAGTGGTGCCGTGGAGAGGGGGTGGGAGGTGGAGGCTCAGTCCCCTTGTTCAAATTCAGAGAGATCTAGAGGCTCAGCCCCCCTTAGCAAGTGAGACCATATTTAGCTTGACGAATTCTGTGTTAGCAACCCTTTATTTTACTGTAGATTTCTCACCCATGAGTAATTTCTTCTCAGTTTGTTTGTGTCATCGAATAGTTTGAATGTCTTCTAAACATAACACCAGCATTTTGGGTGTGGTAAGAATGTGGTCATGGGTGTGGCCTTTGCATTTCCCAATACTTACTTTCCAGCACAGCCCCCTTCATAACTTTCTAGAACGGCACCTTTTGTCTACAGTTGGTGTTAATTGAGTCTTGGAATCTAGAGATTGGTTGCATATCAACTTTAGCTGATGGCAACGCCTTTTCTTACCAAAACGCGTATACCTGTGATCAATTCGCGCATAGAGTTTGAAATATAAGGAAAACGATTTCATCTACTGCTAATTTTTCCTACATGTTCGAGTACAGTATACATTTACGAATTTTACGTCAATTTTGCTAGCAATAGCTGGCTTAGACTTTTATCTTGCTTAGACGTACCCAGTCGAGCTACCCTTTAGTTTATCTACCAACCAAAAGTTTCTGTTAGCTTTAGCTCCTCGGCTGGAAATCTTTGAAATACAAGAAAATTAAGTATAGCCACTACTTATAAGAGGTGACGTCCGGCATATACTCCCAGGAAAATAGGTGACGCCCTTTTGATTTTAACGATCTTTTAGCTTATACTGAAATCAACAGATTTCAACAATGTCAAGATTCGATGGGTCTGCATATCCTTTCCCTGATCAATCTCTCTGTCTCTTTGACAAATTTTGGGGCCCGCTTTTGAATTGTGGAATCTTGAACCTGAATTCCTTCCTTTTGAACGCCATTTATGTGAAGTCATAAGGCAACATTTAACTCAAGAATCTTTGACAAGGCAGTGGCCCACTAATTCACAGCCGTTTAAAGAGAGCTACGCAATTTTCCCTACGCGTGTCTCCAGCTGAAAACATTGATAATCATATTTATCACGCAAGATAAGATCCCAGCCCCTTTGTTCATGCCCTAGGGCGTCCAAGAGCTTGTTAATCTGTTTAGCTTTGTCAGTAAAATTGAGTATGTAGAATTCATGGCGCGAATAATGACCACGTGTCTTATAGGGGCGTTTGACTGTGTTGTAATGTTCATGCAATCAGCGTGCATCGTTTGCGATCCTTGTTGTTATCATTACGCCACTTACTTTCTGTATGACTTTTTGCCTCTTATTTACGCCATACCTCTAGCATAAAATGAAAACAGTTTTGAATAGAAACGATCTTAAAGCCTCGAGATCTTATTTTCTTGATCAATAACGGCTGAAATGACCTAATTAAGTCTTGTATGAGTCCTTTTCAAAGCCGTAGTTGTCCTAAATATTGTTTTTCCCATGAATATTATTTGAATTTTTCCTTGACCCATTACTGTGTTGTTTACAAGGTCAAATAATCTTCATCATCACTGCAGCAAAATCAACTGTAAACATGGTTTGTTCAAATAATTACGTCATAGGTATACAAAGGTTAATTAAAAGATGCCCATGTAGACAAGGTCAAGCCTCTTAAAAAAGAAAATGCTACGTTTGAAAATGGGGTCTATCTGGCTTTATGAATTTGCTGCTCACATTAAAATGTGAAAACTCACTTCCGAATTTCTCAGATAGGCCACTGTAGAAGCGTCAGCTGTATTTGTGCTAGAAGATTGTTAGATCTTAGCATTAATATATTCAAGAGTCAACTTTCATATTCTTTGTTGGCTTGCATTCGCTTTTCTTTATTGGTAAAACATCCAATGGAGTTTTTGCTACGAGGACAGCAGATTAAGATGTTTTTGAAACACGCATTGCTACAAACAACAATAGCTATTGCACCACGAAGAATAAGCTTGGTTTATCTTTGTAAAACACGCGAAGCCACAACGTGGCAATTGCTCAGGCATTGGTGACCCATTGTGAGTGCGTAGATATGGATCTGTTGTTATGCTTGGCAAAGGACAATAAAACAATAAATCGAAGATCTAAGAAATAGAGCACAAAGGTAGATGCATAAGAAGGTTAGTTTATCGAATAATGCTCACGCTGAGTGCTTGTTTATCGAAGAATACTTATGGAAATACGAAAACTCCTTTCCACAGATGTAAACTCTAATTTGTGGATTGAAAAACCATCGTTCGCAATTTTTTTCTTGAAATTCAATAGAAGATTGGTTCTTTACATTTTTTGTTTCGATCGATGAGTAGCTTTATTGTGTAATATTTTCTAAAAATTTTAACTTTCGAAGCTTATTGCTTTTTCACTGCAAAAAAATTAATCAAGCATCCCTAATCACCGACATAAGACAATGTCAATGGAAAGCCTATATAAAGCTACAGAAGATGTTTATTGTTACTTTCTTTACATAAAGGAGTTGCCTTTTGTTAGAAGAATTTTTTCTCTTTTTCTTAATGAATCACTGGATATTTTTTCGTCATCAACAAACTGAAGCTAGTTGGAGAGCATGCTTTGTTCAGAAATGGCAAATATTGAAACACAGCACCTCATATTAAAACAATCCAATGAATTTATCAAGCAAAACTTGCTCTCGTAGTAAGATTCATCGTTTATGGAAGCATTGAAAAATGTACTGGAAAATTGTGATCCATCTTAGAGAGCTGAAAGTGATACAAAATGTTTGAAGCAATTCAAAGGGAGGTCCCGCCCCGACTTTATTTTCCTTCTCTTCATAATCTGACCCCTATGGATACCAATACTTTGCCTACAGGATACCATTATCGTGAAATTCGCACTAGGAAGGTTTCTATCCGGTACACAATAGATTTGAGCAGGTTGTTCGAGCATTCTATCGTTATGGTTACTTTTCTGCGTAAAACCCAAAAACAGCTGCCCACGACAGCTGGTTTATCTGAGTAATTCATACAGAGGCAATCAAAACGGAGGAGCTTGTACTTGGAAAGCTGTGCCATTCTGTCTTGACTGTTTTTATGAACGGTCTTAGATTTCCCTCATTGGCTTCTGGTGAAGAGAGCATCATTTGTTGCTACACATCATACTAATCAATGACGTCTTTCGGCGGTCAGCTCGCCCTCCTGTAAACACGAACAAGCTAGATCGCGAAAACTTTCTCTTTAAAGACGAAAAAATGGTTTGGAAGTTCCGTTGCTGCTGCAGCTGTCGTGGATTTTCGTTAAAACCCGAAACAAACTTGGCTTTGGTTTTATGCCTCGTCTTCTATCTGTATGTTTGTCTTGGAGGAGCCTTGTTTCTTCTACTCGAGGGCCAAGGAGACGGCCAGCCGCTTGATAATACAACGATAGCATTGGTATGGCCTTCTTGATAATTTGTTTTGATTTCTTTTTAGATATCTTTGAGATATTTTTAAAATTCCGTTGATATTTGTCAAGCAAAAGACCTGTTTGCATATATTTGGTAGATCATTGTTATAGAAAGCAGTGTGATGGAATTCTGTTAAGGTTAGTGTTGTTAAAGCAATATCAGCCAGAGGATAAGTAGAATCGCTTAGATTGTTGCTAATTATGCGCGTTAAATTGGAATGGGACCTAATGGAATGCCCTCAAAACATACTCATTGATATAAATCTTCAAATTAATTGCAAGGAAATGAGATTTTTGAATTCAGAGTCTTTATACAAAACCCATTCTGTTTTTCATTTTTTGATAAAGCTGTATATTTCATCAATTCGTGATCCGATGAAGTTAGAGACCTGGTGAAAAAAAACTTTTGTGGAAAGGTTCTTCATGTAAAAGTCTTGAATTTCAAATCGCTAACCGACGAGGAAGTACATTTTATAATTCTTTTAAGGGCGTGTTAGTTGACATCAATAGATAACTTCTCCCTATGATTGAACATGCAAAAGCTGGAAAAGGATGCGCCTTTTTAAGTAAATAGCAATTGCCTGAATTAATTGCAAAGTTATAAAAAAGTTTTGTTGAGTGTATGAGGAAAAAATACAATGTTTCGAAAGTTGCCATGGAATGATGTAAAAAGATTCCATAAAGATACTAACTTACGTGTCGTTCAATATACTGTGACAACATAATTTGAAATTAGGAAAGAGTGTACGAGGAAAAAGAGAAAGAATTTTAAAAAGCGTATCAAGCGTTACCCGTTATCAAACCTTAATTTCAAGTTATATTAGATTGGAAATCTTCTAAAATTAAGATCTTGTCCAATGTTCTTTGTTGGAGTGAACTGATTCGATCTTTTACCGTGGCAAAAACATTTGAAGAATGCTTGCAGCTGGTATATGGCATTTTATAAACACACCAGGATATCTAGGGAGCTAGTTTCCATGACATTTCTAGAACAAAGTTGTAGGTAGATTTCAATATTCTGTATGATTGTCTATCGATTTAAAATCAAATTAAAATTCTTAAAGTAAAAGCCAAGGACATAAAGAAAGATTTAATCCCTTCTACTAAGGGTAGGGAACGGAATTTCCCCCAATTTGATAAACAAATATAGAGTCAGTTATAGAAAGAAATACCCCTGACGTACCTGTGGAGGCATGGTTTCATCAAAAACTGTATTCTAGGTAGTTATTCTAGTTCATGCGCGTATTCCAATTCATGTTCGGTTGCAATGCTGTTAAATTTCAGGAAATAAGCACAAGCTGTTACTCAGCAAAGGTGACGCCACTTGTTTTTATTTCTAATTAATAATTGAACCTCATAGCAAGATTCCTCTTCTTACTAAAGAAAGAAATCAACGGTTTTGGGCTGCTGAATTCAATGAAAAGACAAAATATTATGTCACTGGCTACAAAAAGTTTTGTAGAATCAAGTCTTTGCTCACTCCTTTTGCTTCAGAGACAAAAGATTATTGTTAATATACAATAGAGCAACAAGGAAAGAAAAGTAAGGCATGAAAAATATGACATTTGGGATTGCAATAGTCAAGGCTGTCGATAATAAGGCTGTCGGTCCTTTGCTTGGTCTTGCTGCAAAGCTATTCTGTCTAGATATATAAAGGATCGCTGTCTGCAGATTTTGCATGCTAAGCATTGATTGAAAAACTTGTTAAAATGGGCTTTTGGTGGCAAAATTTGAAATGTTAATATTTGCCCGTTGTTTAGAGGTGTTTGTCTTCACTGAATTTTTGAAAGGTTTTGTTTTTGCTCTTGAAGCGTGAGATTTTAGCCAATTATAGTGATCTACGTCTTAAAGATTCATAAATAACGGTTATGATTTCCAATGCTTTAATACAATACTCAGAAAATTGGACAGCGTGTCCTAATACATGTACGTTTTAGGACACTCTTTCCAAACTTACAAGCACTATCTACAACAAAGCATTTCTTCAACTGCAAACTCTCAAACACATTCAACCCGAAGCAATCGCAAGCGAAAAAGAAATTCTTTCAAGCCAATGACAAATAGCTATTACCCCTTTCTCAGAGAAGCAAAATGTGAGACAAGAGAAGAATACATTTAAAAGAACGTAGGAAAAGGGGTTTATTGTGCGCGAGTCATCCCCCTTTGACTTAAGTTGCCCCTTTGACTTTGGCAAATGTGGTAGATGTATGGTAACTTTTAGGGGCTCACCGTTTGACCCAATTGAGGAACTATATCGCCCTCAGAGTCCTTTGTTTTCAGAACAGAGCACCTTTGGTGCCAAGAGTTACTCTTTGCTCCCTCTTCTAGTTTCTGAGCCATTTGTGAAAATTGCACCTGTGGCATCGGTGTAAGACCCAACCCTAATTCTATTGAGGCAAAGGTTTCCTCTCATTAGGTCTTAGACACATCAGCAAAATCTCGACTTTCCTAATGCATTTTCTTTCCAGCAACCTGCCAGGATCAATTGAATTCTTTGTGAACCCTTCATATCGCACAGCAAAATAGACAAGATTGCTGGACAGGTGCAGGCCTTTTGCTTTAGAAAATTTTTTGCATTTTTCGTAAATGACGCCACGAAGTTGTATTTTGACTGGGAGAAACGATTTCCAAGGGACCTTTCTTATAGCAGTATTGAAAGCTTGAATGGATTTCTAATGTGTTAAGCTTACTAAATACGTTTCTATTTGAAAGAATCACTTACTTTGTCTAATTACTCGATTGCATTTCTCACTTATAAAGAATCCAGTTGATCAAACATTTGGCTGTTAATTAAAGGATCGTTAGACAAAATCTGATAAGACGGAAAATGAACAGACATTTGAAAAAAAAATGAGCTTTTCCTTTAATTGTCCTATTGTAAAATGATGGCCTTCAAAAGATATGAACAGGGCAATATTTGCGGTTGTTGTCTAGCTAGGGATTTTTGTTGACCAACTCATCAACATATGCCAGATAGAGTGTATAATATTTTGAGAAACTTCATCATTCAAATAAAATTCTACTGCTAATTAGCAAACTAAGTAGGCAGCTAGATATTGAATGTATTGTTGGCATACAGGAAGTTTAAGGATGTTGCTTGAAAGAGAGAACGTTTCAAGCAATAACAGAATAGATGTTTGACTTCCGTGTCTCAGGAATATTTCAATGAATGTCTGATGCGCATCAACGTGATTGATCTAGTATGAAGAAAAATGGCTTTTATAGTAGCATCAAAAACAGCCTTCTGACTGCGTAACCAGACAATCCAGATAACATTTTTAACATGATCGGAGATGCTCTTCGCTTAAAAATCATAGCCTTTTTTAGCAAACGCTTTTAAAAATTACTAGTCAGCTGAATAAAGTTTCCTGTTCGAGAAATAACAGCTTAAACGGAAAACACAACACCCTGACTCTGCCTAAACCAAATTTTCTTCTATATATCCAACAGCTCTTTCTCAGCAATTTCTCTGTTGCTCTCATCACATAACTTAAGGTTGTCTAACTGCGATAATGACATCATGATTCTATTAACATTTAACCTTACAAAGTTTAAAGTAGTTGTAATCGATAGACATTTTGCGATTAGCAGACTATATGTTCGATCAACCGTGTCGAAAAAAAGATATCTTATAAGCGTAAGATTTACAGCAAGGATTGTTTGCAATCAACTATACTCCACACCACATACGCTTGCAGTTGATCCCGGGAACTTTGAGTCTCTATAAACAGTACCCAGCATTCTTCAAATCAAAGTCATAACTTGCTTTCTCTAACCTAGCTTTATTTTGTTTGATCATCAAAGAGCTTCTCAGCTGCTTGCATTTCTTTACAAATAGTGCTAACACTTGGTAATGAGATCATCAACATAGTAAGCTATGAAACCTTGTTGTTTGGTTTTCGGTCAAGTTAATCAACCGATTTAAGAGCGTTTCTTTAAACTATAGTTTATCTAGGATGTGAATCCAAGATTTAAAGTCGAAAGCACTTCTATTTATTGAATTTTCTTTATTCGTTGAATGGGGATTCATAATCTAGAGATCAGGGCTTTTTTCTTGAATAAGCTGAAGTCATTGCTAAGATTTATAAAACAACAATAAGACAACTGCCAACGTAAAGGCGTGGCATACGATTTCTTCATCAAACGTTGGCGTTTGCGTTCTAAATGCGTGCAAACAATGATTTCTGGAAGATCAACTTTATCGACATTATGTGTCAATATGTTGCAGTCAGTTTAACGAGCTTAAAGGAACTTTGATTAGCTTTTATCGTAAAGCCTTTTTGATTTTGTAAAAGGAGACGTCATAATGATTCTTCGTAATGTCGTTCTGATACTTAATTGGAAAAATAATGAGTTTGCCCACTATTTTATTGATAGGGTGTTGTTGCCAAAGACAGTTGTCTCCGAAAAGTCGCGCATAGTTAATCAAAGCATGATGATCTAATTCTTGATTGTTTTCTATTTTGGAGATTTTTGTTAAGAAATACTCTGCAAAATTCCTTAAAAATCCACATTCATAAAATTTGAGTGACTGAAAGGAACTCTTAATGATAACATCATCAACATAATACTCATTGATGTCTTTTATTTGAGAAAGCCATATGTCTAATGTATTTACAGTCGATATCCTTCAAGATTCAGGATTTGTTATATTGGAATATTTGCAGGCTTTCGTAGCTGGTTCGAAGCATTTGTTATAAGAGATAGGGGATTTTAAAATTTTGCGGAATTTTAAAGCAAAGTTGCTTTCTTTATGCCGTTAATTTACAGAAAAACCTCTATACGTCATCGACTATTTTATTTTATCAGGCTTAATCGCTTAATTCCTGCATTGTTTTCGGCTCAAAATGGAGGAAAACTACCCACATATGATTCATGTGTTGAAGCGCGCAGATGTTTAAAATTGATGCACAGCAGCAGAGTAAATTGCCGCTTATCACTGACTACAGAGGCAGATGCTAAGGTCATGCAAACAACATGAAGTAGT